CATCATCCCTGCAGGGGATGACCATGGTGGAATTCCAGGCAAGATGGCTCTGGACAGAGGCTCTTCAAAGGCCCTGTCCCCTCTGGCCAGTGGGGAAACTGAGGCTCAAAGAGGACAGGCCAGCCCTTAGCAGAACTGGCTAGTCCCCTGCTGTGCTGTGTGGCACAGGGACCAAGATCTACCCCTGGGTCTCTGACCAAATGAATTCCACACACAGCACCAATGTCTCAGGATCAGCACCTGGCCAGGATGGGCAGGGGCTGAAATCCAAGCCACAGGGGGTGGGTAATGGGGAGCACATTCCTGGACAGCCAGGGCCAGCAGAAGCACAGGCTCTGCTCTGCAGCCCAGGCCCCATGCCTTACAGGATGGGTCCCTGGCCTGGGCCCCAGGCCCCTAAGGCCTGCGAAGGCATGGAGCTGAGGCCCAGGGAAGACCAGCAGCTCCCATCTGCGTCTGCCTGGCATCAGAGCCCTACTCAGCTCCTGTCCCTGAGTCTCGCTCGGAGTTATGCAGGGAAAGGCAGTCAGAGGTGCCTTCAGGGTGTGACATTTTCCCAGGTCGGGGTCCTGTCCTGAAGGAATGCTTGAGCCCCCCAACTGCTTGTAGTATTGAGGTTCTGGGTCCCTGTAACTTCTTCAGGGGTCCAGGGAAGGGCCTAAACTGTCGTGATAGGACAAATGCATCCCTCGGGCTCTGGTGACACAGGAAGGAAGAGGCACAGAATGTAGCCCAAGCAGGAGAAAACATGTGATTTTATAAAAGGGAAACTGAGGCCTGACAAAGGGGAAAAGCTCTACCCAGAACTTCACAAACTGCTAATGGGGGGATTTCAGGCATCCTTATAGAAGACAATTTTGCACAGAAGGCAATTTTGCAAAGCCTTTTAGCCACACCTCACCCCTTGTGGGCCACAGCCTTGACTGTCACTTTCTCAGTCTTGGGATGCAGGGGGAGTGCCTACTGGAGACCCGGCCAGGAAGGAGGAACACTGTCCACTGGGAAAGAGAAGTAAACTGAGGCCCAGAGTAGGGACATGTGGATGGATTGCCAGGCAGGGTGGCCTGAGCGCTTCTTGGAGGGCACTGGGGAGCCAGGACAGTTCTGAAACAGGAGAAGGTTTAGGAATGGCCTGTCACTGCTGGGGCTTTGGGTGCCCCATCTGTATTTAGCAAGTACAGGAACAGATGTGTGGCAGGGACTGAATTCTCTCTGCTGGGTTCCCGAGGGCCAGGCACGGAGGGGCCTCGGGTCTGGCTGGCCCTGGTGGTTGCAAGTATCAGGGCGGGGCAAGAAGCAAGACTGACATGAGGGACCAGGACGGTTGCCCAGGACACAACACTGCCAGTGGGATATGGCCCCTCAGTAAATTTGCATACATTTGCATACATTATCACTTTCATAGAAGAGCCCCTACTCCCTGGCTGGGATTGGGGGAAGCACATTTCAGATCTCAATACTACTCTGTGGTCTAGCTTATTCTTTTCATTCCGACCTGTAGTGAGGTTCTGACACTGTGGAGTCAGGAGGGTGAGGAGATGGGGTGTCCAGGAGAGCCAGGGCCCTCCAACAGGGCCTGACAATCCTGCAGCACCACCCACCTACACCCAGTCCAGGCAGCCCTGTAGCGCGATCCTGAGGCACCAAGAGCCCCTGCTGGCAAATGACCTCAGGGAGCTAAAAACAGGCGATGACTTCACCCAGGCGGGCAGGCAGGCAGGAGCCTGAGTCAGCCGGAGATCATGGCAAGGCCTGGCCCCCATTACCTATGCCTGGGCACACGCATGCAGACAGGGACCTAGTCACACATGTGCATGTACCTGATCCCTCTGAAAGGGACACACGTGTGCACGAGAACCAGCCTGGCCCACAGGCCTGAGTAAATCAGTGTGTGCTCTCACAGCACTCAGTGGGCAGTGCCCACCATCCGCAGAGGTGTGCGCACATCCCCACCACCTCCTGTCTTCCACCACGGGCCAGACTCCCTCACCCAGCATCCAGGCATCCACTATAGGAGTCTCAGAGCTGGAAGCAGATGGGGGAACTGAGGACTAGGGTAGGGAGAAGCCCAAGGTCTACCCATGGCTTGGGACTGTGCAGCATCTTTGGGCTGGGGACATGGGACCATGGGCTGATGACCAGCACACAGTTGGTGCTCAACAGAGGCAGCTGACCAGTGGGCCTGGATCCTTGGCTAGTCTTGAGGCCCTGCTCTAGGGCCCCATGTACCTCCCATGTCCACCTACCCAGGCCAGCCCACCCTCAGCAACCCCTGGCCCTGCAGCCCCAGTTCCCCCCTTACCCTGCTATACCCCAGACGTGGGCACCTGCATGGACACACCACCCCAGCCCTCCTCCATGTCCCAAATCCTGTCAAGTCCTGTCAACTGTGTCTTGGCACTCTTTCTCCATTCCTGGCCTCATCCTTGCAGCTCTCACTGGAACCACTGACCAGCCTCCCATCACCCACCCCCAGGGCCCAAATCCTCCCTGTGATACACCTATCCATGGTCCACCTGGTCCATGGCCCATGGGCTCTGGCCCAGAGAGGGGCTGTTGCCCAAACCTGGGGTTTCCCATGAGCTCCCTTGAACTTATGGGGAAGGGGGTTGGCCCAGGTCTCCAAGTGGGGGCTGGAGCTCCCCAGAAAGGTAATGCTCACAAGAGGATGCCTAGAGGCACAGAGCTAAGCACAGCGTGAGGGCCCTGGGCCCGTTCACACAGGAGGGACTCAGCTTCTTCACACAGAAACAGGAAGGACCCATGCTGTCAAGGCTGTGGGATAGGCGGAGATAGTGTCAGTCCACCTTTGTGGCCAGATGTGGGACAATGCAGAGGGGTCACCACCTGGGCAAAAGTCCACAATAGCCTCTGGGGTGCATTGGGAATGGCTGAGGGAGGGGACAGAGGAAACAAGCCAAGTTGTAATGGGCAGGGGGGGGGGGCAGGTTGGACTGGGGTCCCAGAGGCATGGATCTACCTGCACCACCTGCACTTGTCAGACGAGCACCCGTGGTCTGTTTCATGAATAATGAACCAAGGGGCAGGTGTCCCACTCTGTCCACGGATCCCACACCTGGCTCCCATACCCCCCCAGGGCCAGGCCCCCAGAGGGTATAAGATGGATGCTGCTGAATGAACAGAGGGGTGGAGGAGGGACAGCCCCCTCCCACCAGCAGGGCCATCCCAGCTGGACTCAAGGATAAGCCAGGCTGGCCTCTCTCATCAGGGAGCAAACCCTGAGCCACCACAGACACTCTCTCCCTTGGTGCCCATGGCCTCTGCCCAGCCCTGGCGGACTGGAGGTCAGTCCTCCACAGCAGCAGTCCTCCTGCCAGGGCACAGCTCACGCTGAGTGGCAGAGAGGCCAAGAGGTAGTGGGTGCCCAGCAGGCTGGGGGAGCACGATTGTGGGGCACAGAAAGCAGAGCTGCTGGCTGTCACTCATCCCAACTTCCCCAAACCCAGCCCACATCCATTGGCCACACTGTGGCCCAAATTCCCCAGCTCCTCCCATGACCACCTCATCTCTGGGGTAGTCAGTGGCCAGACCCTGGGGACCACATCAGGGATCCAGAGGAGGCCAAGACTGGCTGGCTGTCCCCGGAGGCAGCTGTGTGGGAGACAGCACAAGGGGTCCCTGCGGCTGTTCCTTCCACTCAGCCTGCTTCGGGCCTATTACTGGACCCCGCCCACTCTGGGCAAGAGTGCGGGCTGCACACAGGCCTCCCCCAGCCCCAGCGCTGGAAGGCAGACAGCCCGGTTTTCCTCGGAGACCCCACCCGCCTCTGCACGTGGGCAGGGCCGTCCCCACCCCTCCCCTCACGTGCGCCGTCGCCGCAGACAGGGCTTCCCTTAAATCTCCCTCCGGAATCTCCTTCGCAGCTCCCAGGAGCCTGAACCCGCGCTGGGGCTACGGAGGGGAAGGGAGGAGAGGAGGGAACAGGAGGCCTGGCTGGGCTTCCCCCTCCGGACTCGGCATCCCTCTTGCACAGGAGCTGCTCCCGAAGCCTTCGCCCTCCGCCCCTGTCGTCGGCACCTGTCCTGGGCGC